CCCCCCAGCCCCCTCCAAACATCATCAATAAAATCAGTAATCAATCGGCTAATTGATTATTGATCTCACCCATCCAATTTACCACTTTTTAGGGGATCACGATACAGACGAGGAGAGTGAATTAAATGCACGCAATCGGCTGAATCATTATCACCATAACCACTCACGTCATCACGTATCGTCATCAAAACCCGTGAGTGAGGATGAATTTGCTGAGGACGAGTTGTCACTTGGCGAGCCGTCAGAATCAAAAATGCTCACCTCAACCCGCCCCATGTGGAGTACCTGTCCAACGTCTTCGCGTTTATCACGGGAGCGTCGGGGAAAGAGCCCTAAAAGCTTAGACAGACGTAGAAAGGATAAAGGAAACGATGTTGGGGAGTTTCATGAGGGTATGCTGCTCGACGCACTACTCCAACTGTATCCCAACGTTGCGGGTAATTTACAATACTTTTTTTTCCCCCCTTTTAAAATTTAAATTTCATATTTAACATGCTAATTTCGAGGGGAAAACAACGGCGGAGGGTTCATCTTCTTGGGATGGGGAAAATTTTTTAATTCTTGGTTTTAGGGGGAAATTGCTGTTTTGGGGGAGGGGGATTCTGTTGCAATGGGATGGCATACTTGATCAAGCTTCAAGAAATTTGACGGGAAAAAGCGTGGAATTTTTTCAGAAGAGAAAAGCATGAATTTTCTGGATATTTCTTCATTGAGGAATGAGTTGATTGCTTGAATATTCAAGTAATTTTAGATTTTCAGGTCAATATAACCCACATGATCCTTATTCTGACCCTTGTGACCCTTATTTTAACCCTCGCGGCCCTTATTCAGCCCCTCATTTACCCTTATGACCTATTACCCTTATTTGGATCCTTAATCTGATTCTAGTGACTCTTATTCCGAACCTCATGACCTTTATTTTGACCTTGCCGACCCTTAATTTTAAAGTCTTAATTTCAAATATCAAATTTTCATCACCAGAAGTTGATTTGGATTTTCATAATATACAGAGATTAAAGTAAAATAAAAAAATTCATGATTTCGTCCCCTTGAAACTAAATTCAATGCATTCCCAACACCACGGAAGAGCCAAAACTCCTCATAATCACCATAAACAATCGAAAAGTAATAAACCACCCCCTAATTCACAGGTGTAGCTGGATCCCGAACGAGCACCACTCAACGCCAGAAATCCGTCCCATCGGTGGCCCACAAACTGCCGTACTTTGTGCCGCAAATACCGGTGACCCAGTCAGTAAGAGTAGACGAGAATCCGTACGAGAGTGTACCAGTTCTAGGACCACTCCACCACTACACAAATCAAACTAAACCAAACAATAAAGACAAATCACGTTCGGCAAATTGCACCCGCGAGCGTTATCCAAAATGTTCGCAATACGGCTCCGAGTACTTTGACCTACGCAATCAGGACAATACACCGCCAATCTACACCCAAGTTGACGGTGACTACTCGGATTCTTACGCCCAACCGGCCGACAGAATCTACAGCGATGACAAATACGAACAGCCAGTTTACTACATGTCACGCAATAACGATCAGATGACGTCTGGACGCCTGTACCAGGGATTACCGGACAGTAGTTTTGGCAGTGACAGTGGGTACAGCCATCACACGTCCGGCACAACAGGCACCAATGGAACAAGAAGCAGTATTACAAATATCAACTACAATCGCAAGGAGAAGCACAGAAATTCCCATCATTCGCATCATTCCGCCGACTTCATCTTGTCGTAATACTAGTCATTGTCAGTGAGTCGCAGCAGCGAGTGAGAGTGAAGCTATATCCACGCCGGGGCGAGAGAGTGATTGCTACGTACGATTTTTTTCTAGTGAGTTATAGGTATACGAGACTATTTAACAAATTAAAATTTATTGGAAATTGTGGAGAGGCTCAGGTTTGTGCACCAAAGGTTTTTGAATTGTAACTGAGTCATTACGCGAGTCGTTCATTATGGAAAAGTAGGGTCTAGGGGGCCGGCAGAGGCTGTTCATTGTGTACGAATAGGTACACTTAGGGTTATTTCAATTAAGGGAGTTTTTCATGGGGAAATGTGAATGCATTGAGTGAGAGAAAGTGTCATCAGTCCTGTACAGACACTAATCGTACATTAAACATAGTGTAAATTAATTATTTATGGAATTAGGGGCGCTGCGTTGTATATAACGAAGATTGTAGAGAAATTGTATCATACGCGTTGTAGAGTACTTAATCGAAACATATTCAAAGAAAATATTAATATATGATTTTTAAATTTTAATATAATGAGACGATCAATGATTGATTAATAGCGGTAGTTTCTTGAATGAAAATTTGTGATTGTGGTGATGAATTTGTTCGAAGACACTTTCATTTCCGTGAAAATTCTATTAATATCACGTGTTTAACGTCGGCGAGACGAGAGGAGTGAATTATGATACAATCAGTGAGTGGATGGGATTGTGTATGAGTGAGTTTGTAAGACGAAACTAAAGAAAACGCTTTTTTACATTTTTTGCGTCCATACTGTTAGAGTGTGAGGAAGAAAGAATAATTTATACGTTAACATCAAATGTATCCGAGTAGAGAGTAATATATTTAGTATCATTGAAGGAAATAACGAGTGAGAGAAGAGGCTGATTGTTTTTGTTATGACTATTGTTCTCAATACCTTGGATTGTCCCATTAATTTTTACTCAGAATCAAATCATAAAATTAGACGAGTAATCACTAGAGTACCTTAATAGGAATAAATTATAGAGTGAAACAATCATGAAATAGAAAACGTGAAAAATCCATTCTACGAATATTTAATTTTGTGGATAACTCAATGAGCAATAGAGCCAAAAATTGTGAATATGAATGCTATGAGCAGACAATTGAAATAAAAGACACGATGTGAAATCATTTGTACGTGAAAAAGGTAATGTCAGTGCTCACAGAACAGGGTAAATAGTGTTTAACATCTGTATTTAAACCCCTCCCCTCGATAACTCTCAAGGAGTGATGAACCATCAATTTTTCCATTTCAGTTGTTTCCCGTTTTATCGTGTCATTAGCTCCTAACAGAATTACTATCACTTTCGTAATAATAAACTATTTAATATTCAATTTCAAAATGAACGTTTTTACTCCGCAATTGACCATTCATCCTTAATGCAATTTGTTTTTCATACCTTACCAAATGAAACTTTCACGATCGCATATTTTCATCACTGACGCGATAAATCACGAAAGACATTGGGATTATCATCTCCCAAGAACAGGCACTTGAAGATGTCATTGTAGAATTCAGGGTAATATTCACAAGCTCGTTTGTTATCCGGCGAGAAATTAAACTCCAGTAAAACAGGTTGCATATCGTTATCGTCCCACTCCAGCATAAGATCGACAGCATAAACAGCTCTACTCTGAGGATTGTGGCCAATTCCCCGCGGTGGTTCCTCAGCAGAAGCCCCCTCAAACACTTCCCACAGCATCTTAAATATCTTCGGCTCAACATTCTCCCTCCAATCGAAATCAGGATACACCTTAATCCACTCATTAACAAAATCCTCGCACTTGACATGATGAAGTGACGCGTCCTCCGAGTAATTCATAACCGTGAAGTGTTGCTCATAAATGTCAAAATTATCAAGAGCAAACGGACGATTAGCAAAACGCAGAAAGAAGTTTGAGTAAGCATAAGCTTTGAGTGGCTTCACCGAACTCAGCAGTACCACATACCTAACGTCAAACTTAACTTTACCAACGTCTGGTCTATCATAAAGCACCGGTGACGATACATACTTCTGCACAACTTTCGGACCAGTACACGGCAACCGAAGTATATGATTCAAATTATTAGTCGGATGAATGTCTATCCCCCGCGCCAAGTTCCAGGGCTTGCATATCCAGTGATTATCGAGTTCCTTAATCTCCCGATTTTGAAAGTACGATACAAACTTAACAAGTTCAGCACTGAGATTGTACGTAGTTGGCAACCACCTTGGATACGTTCTCAAAGTTTCGACCTCATATTTCTTACCATCGGCCCTACGTCTGCAGATTATTGATAACAAATCCTTCACAGTTAAAACATTCTCAAAGGGAAATTGATTCACGAACACTCGAGGGAATTTTATACTCAGACCCTCGTAATCTTTGAAGTACGTCATGTACCACAGTACATCAGCTTCCTCTTCGTTATCGGTTAACTCGAATGAGCAGTCTGTGAGGTAATCTCTTACATACTTGTACTCGGTGAAAACTTTGAGTTTCTTTCCTTTTGGGTAATTATTAAGAATGGCCTTTTCCGGGGCGGGGGGGACTGGCAAAGTTTCTTCCCGTCTGCCACTCATGAAATAATCATCTCCTGGTTCTGTTTGGAGGAAATTTTCACCGCTGAAGTCTGCATCAACCCACGGTATGAGGAGGGCTCTTCGCAATTCCTGATCGTTCGTTTGATTTTCGATGAAGTCTCTCGTGACTTCCTCCCTCACTTCCACATCTCTGATGGGAAATAAGAGTGAATAAGTTATTCCTTCCGTTAAGTGTATGATGGGGACAACTCGGAAGTTTGGAGAGTCGTTATGATTAATTGCTGAGCCTACTTCGTCCATTACGTACCAGAGGGGTAATTTCTCCTCTATGTTGTCGGAGTTTATCGTTAAGAATTGATTGTACCTCCACATCTCTTGGAGGACGAACTCCAGCTTTTGATCTTTGGAGTCGGAGGGAGAGAGGTTTCCCATTATGTTGCACATTCGGTCCAGCAGACCTGCAACTTTGGTCAGGTGAATGCGCGCGGTGCTCACGTCGTACGTCCAGGCGTGGTCGATTAGGAAGACGTTGTTGGGGTCGCCGCAGGACATTGGGCCCTCCGCAGAGAGGAACAGCTTGTATACCGGGTCTTTTGGCCCCCTAGGGCAGCCCTCGTAGTCTATTTGAGCGATGCTGAAGTACAGACCTGCGTCGAAGACTTGGTTCTTCAGTTTCTCCCATATCTTCGGCCAGAAATGCTCGGGGATCTGGGAGGAGACGAACTGCGGCTGGTGGAACTTCAAAAAGTCCTCGAAGGCAGTCATTTCCTTTCTTCAACTGTGGATTTTGAAGCTTTGCTGTAGTCGGAGAATTTGGGATTTTTCGGGACTAGTATTTGCGTTATTCAATTTGTAACGATTTCGGGGGTCTGAGAAAAGTTGGATCAGTGAAATATTCAAGGGAAGTCGTTTGAATTCTTTGGCTAAGAACATTTTTGTCACAATCTTTAAATACCTAATGGGTTGATTATTAGAATAAATTAATGCTCTGATGAAGAACACTGTGTACTCGAAACGTTGGCAATTGGCGGAAGAATTGTTTTATATTTTTTCTTCGGATTCATTCCTGTATTTATTTTTATTTGAGTTGCTGCTACGACCGAGGAAGTTATGTTCTATCCCCTCAAAAAAATTGACCCATTAATTTACTAAATTGCAGAGAATTTGAGAAGCTCCCAACAGAACCAGAGAATTCTGGTCACGGCGGCCCTAGTGACCCTATGGATTTGTTGTAATTGATAATGCAAATTTGACGAAAAAAATTTAAAGACTGGTGCAATATAGTGTATTCGGTAAATGTACATAGAAATAAATTTTTGTACAAAATGGGAATAAAACAATTAAAATAATAAACTGTTAAATTGCGATCGATGCAAATTAAACGAATAATCAATTGAAAAATCGAGTCATTGTAAATTATCTAAAAAATCTCATTAAACAATCAATTAAATCAACATACCGAGAGCATCATTTTTATTCAAACAAATCAACCAAAGTCGAGACACGCGAGAGAGAAAAGCGTAAATCAAAAAGTGTAAATTTATTCATGAAGTTAATTTTTACTTACTAAATGTTATCTACGATGAGGAGAAGCTTTTGAAGTTGTTTATTCACGATTTTAGGTTATGATCGATCGCTGCGTGCCGGGGAGCACATGAGCTTGCGACAGCTCACGGTAAGCGGGAGCCGACAATATGGAGCACTAGGTTATTGACCAGGGGGAGTCAATTCCTAGAACTGCGATAGAATCGCAAAACGCGAGGGGATGATTACCCTTAAATATTTGTATTGTATTATCAACACGCGATTCGCCTGGAGTTTCACGTCGGAAGAATTGGGCTTTAAAAATTGAATGGCACCCTCAATTTTCTCTCTACAATTTTTGTTGATTTTTAAATTCACTCGGAAATTCAAATTTTGCTCTGAGAAATTTTCCTTTTTCCATTGAATTTCCAGAAATATTAATTCATTTTTGCGTCGTGAAAAGGAATTTCATCGGTCTATATTTGATATTTTGTCATTTGATTCTTTAACGTTCGTCGGGAAAAAAGCATTTGTGTCGTCCGAGGCACGAAAATGGAATCTTGTGTCGGTAATAGTTGATATCCACAGTCGAACGCAGCATTCTTGCTGCCGGCACTTTACCACGACGACGGAGATGGCATCTGGTGCTCTTCGTTTAAAATTCCCGTTAATTTTTCAACTAAAAAAAATGTTTTTTTTTCAACATTTTTATTATTATTATCATTATTTATTTATTTATCCATTTATTTATTTATTTATTCATTTATTTATTTATTCATTGCTTATCAGAAGAAAAACTCTCCCAGAGCAAGGGGAAACCCAAGCTTGTACACGTGGTCATCCAACAAAATTTACAAATTTATAGCTCTCCAACATTTCATATACTATTTCACTGCTTTGCACATTCCACCCGATTTCAATAGAATTGTCAAAACTAATAATTTTGGTTCGCAGATCTACAGGATTTTTTCTTTTTTTTTGAGAGCTAATGCTCAATTTCAGAAACAAGTTCCGAGAGTTTAGAAATTTAATGAATTTTTTCCATAGTTATGCCGTTTTTTATCGCGCAATGAAAAATTCATGGACTGATAATCAGAAGAATTCCTCTGACTGCGCGAGAAAGTCTTCAAATCGCAGCGTTTTGCGCAGAATTTCGCTCACACGCGTGGAAACAGACTCAGAATGCTCTACAAAATTATCGCGCAAAGTTTTTATGCCCCATAAAGCGCCGAGATTTCACAGAAATTTCAATTTCAATATTCAAAGTCATTGCAACAACTGCCCTATAATCGGAAAGCTGATAAAATCCGCGTAAAACGTCGAGTGCCCGATTGCCAGTCTATTCCCGTGGCCTGCCCCGAGCAACGCGCCCCCGCCGAGTTTGAACAGTGTTTTTCTCGCTCGCAGGGTGAATTCTCGAGTTGCTAATGAAATTAAAGCGTTAAAAATTGACGGTTCGACGTTAAAATTCGGTCACAAAGGTGCGCGGGATTAAAATCGGCCTTTGTGATGCGAATGCATCTATAATGACCGCTTTGTGCTTTCATTGGCCGTTAAAACCCTTCTTCGAATGTTGACCAATGAATTATCAATGCGCCAATGAAACACTGTTTCAACCGATTTCAAAGGGGACGACGTTCTTGAATAACCCACGTAATTTTCTCTTTAACAAATCATAGTACCAGTGGTTGTAAATTAAAACAGGTTCTGAACTTTTAATGTCATTGAACAAATTAAATTTTGAATATTAAATTAATCTTCAATATTGAATTTTGTACACTTTAAATTTTTTCAACTATTGTTTTCTCCGTTATGGAGCGTTATTTATTTTTAATTTTATGTATTAAAAAAAGTTTTTCAAACATGAACAAAACGGGAAAGATAATTTTAATGTGATTTTAATCCCTCAAGTGTAAATTAACAAACTTGTTTACTTGTTTAAAAAACGGATTTAAGTATCTGAAATAAATAATTTATTCATTTCAAATAGATTTATCAACAATATAAATTTGTTATTATTTAATTATTATTTTTTATTATTATCGTCATTTACTTAATGTAAATTTATTTATTTAACAGTGCCGCGAATAAAAAAAATAAGAAATGAATAAATAAACAAATAAAGGAAGAATTTCACTTTAAATAAAAATTTGATTTCGTGCTATTTAAATAATCCAAATAAATAAGTCAGGGTGTTCATTCATATCCTCTGAGAGCGGAATTTTTAAAAATTATTTAGCATCCCATTCTATTCCACTTTGTTTTCAATTTTGTTCCTTAATTATATGCTGCCACCCAGAATGACTAGCGACTGGAGCACCGTGGTTCTTGATCCACGCATTCCAGCACTAACGATGTCATTCATCCAGCATGATCCACCGTTTGTGGCACTGTGGATGAATATTACCGCCAACTAATATAACTATACACCACGTATATAATTCATCAGCCAACATTTTGGTCTCGTTAACGTCCGGATGCATGTAGAAGCCACATTAGTGGAATTTCGCCCTGAATGTATGTGACAGGATTATTAGTGATTATTAATTACGAAAGATCATCTGTGCCCTATTGTGCCGTCTCCAGCGATCCCTTCGCTCAATGGATCAGAGGTGTATTCAACTCAGCGATTTGGAATTAACAAGAACTTCCTCTTCCTCTCTCGTTTGTCAGCGGAAATATGAAAATCCTTTTTTTAAAAACGCAAAAAAAATCAGCATTATTACGTGAAGGCTCTTTGAACCACGTCAATGTACCTTTCCACACCGTTGGATCAATATTTCATAGAAATTTCAACGCTTGAATAATTCCAATGCCAATCTGTCACCACTCCTTGGACGGGTATCTTCCTTTATATAGACCCGGCAAAAAAAAAAAAATGTAACATCTGAGGGCTTCGGTGAAAATTCATTCTTTTTCATTCGTTTTCATGAAGATGTTGGGAAAAATGATGGCTGAGGGGTTGTTACAGACAGACGGCGGAGCTGGAGAGAGAGAAATTCGGAAATTCGATTGAATTATTCAGTGTCGAATGGGAGGAGCTCACATTTGGGGAAAAAATGCGCATAACACTAGGGATGGGCGATGTTTTAAAAACCATCGATGTTGTAAATCGATTTAGCTGCAATAATTGTTAAAAATTTAAATTCTGATTCAATTCATACTTCTGATTGCGAATAAATTATTATTTAGTTTATTCTCACTCAATCAACATTATCATTCGACAAAAAATGAAAAATTTTGTTGTCAGGGTTAGAAATATCGATATTTGGGCATGAAAAATCGATGTATTCGATTAATCGACAAACATCGCCCATCCCTACGATAACACTAAATGAAAATAAATTTTCGGGTAATAGATTCAATGGCCTATCGATTCGAATCGCCATGCCAACGAACGCCAAGTTGTCCTTCTCTTCTTCGCGCTGTTATCATCCGTAAAAATCGAGGGATTTGGGTTCCATTGCCAAAACAAAATTACACGGGGCATTCCACCGCTGGAACATCGATTCCGGGCGACTAGCGGGGCATGCATAAAAGCGAGATGAATCTCAATGAACTCGGCGGGATCGTTCTGTATTTGTTTTTATGGGTTTCTCTTGCTGTCATTAGGCGGCTGACATTCGACTCGATGAAGATTGACGCTTGTTAGCTACCTTGAGGGCTAAGCGAAGCTGACGGTGATGTGGGGAACAAGGTGATGCGTGCGAGGGGCAATTGGGTACGACTGAGTGAGAGAATTCATTCAAAATCATCTCTGAGTACTTCAGTAGCGAAGTGGCAAGAGGAGATGAGTCAATTTTGACTATTGCTGGACAAGCCTTGTCTACAAAAGATTGTAAAATTCAGGCATTTGTTCTTGCTGTGTGTTTTTTAAATATTCGTCTCGCATTTTTGCCCCCATAAAGCCTGAAAATACCTGCAAATGGATTTCGCTCCCCCATTACTTGACTTTTGTTTCGCAATGTTTTTCCAACATTTTTCTCCGCGTGCGCGAGTCGTAAAACCCTTCGCGGTTTCCTACATTATGTCCCTACACATGAAACCCGCGTGACGTTCGACGCACTCGAACATTGTCAGTGCCTCTGACTTCGTAGCATTACCGACCCCCGTTAAACCTCGGATTACCTTTACGACGCAACCGTGTGACCAATCTGAATGCTCCGGAATTCCACGAACACGTCTGACGAGCGAAAAAATCCGGGAGAATAAAGCACGCGAGAGCGAAAAAAAATCCGCAGCAAAATCAATGCGTCTGTGCACCAAAACAGGAGCTCAAACAGTGAAATCAGAATGGCCATCTCTTTTTTGTGTGCCCCCGCCGTTTTTCGTTTACCGTTGACTGTAAAACATAAATCCGAATAAAACCCATTTTTCAATAAAACGAAAAAGGGGAAAAATATTTACCCAAATGGTACTCAGCAACAGAGGCGAATGGGCGATGGGTAAATTAATCGTGTTTACTCGCTCCTGGCTGAAATATATCTCGCGAGAATTTCGATGGAGAAGTCGAAGCCTTCGTGATACAGTTTTCCGAGTGAAGATCTTCGCTCGGAGTTAAGTTTTGCTCTCCGATGGCAGTTTGGTGCCCCTCCAACTTTTGTGCAAGTCAACGTTGCGCGACCGGGTCTCTTTCACAGAGACACTCGCTGGTCGTCGGTCGTAAGTCTCTTTGGAATGACCGCAAACCGGGTAAGGAACACGACTGGAGCGATGTGAATCGTGTCTCCTGGGGGATGAGCCTCTCTTTGTTCCTTTGTCACGAGTATATGTACTTGTCAGACTAAACTCCACTCTTACTTATTTTCGTCTTTGGGGACGCCTCAAAGGGATTTCGATGCACATCAACGATTCAAATGTCAATGTTGTCTGGGCAATTGGACTTGGCGCTCTAATAATTCAGGCTGAGACTTCAATTCGGCTGAGAATTCGTTTGTTTGGAGTGAAAATTCGTCTGTCAGCAGGAGAGTCCATGTACTTTCTAGGAGATTATTTATCACTTCCACAGTGGAGTATTTTTATTATTTTTATGTAATTAAAATTATCAGTGGAACAATTATTGGATTTTTTCAGGCGACAAAGGCGATCATTGAGAATGAATTAATGAGGTATTTGGAAAAAT